TGATGAATAACGATAAATATAAAAAATAATTGAGTATATACAAATAGCAACAATTCTACAAACATAATAGTATACAGGGTGCATGAATAATAATAGAATGTCATTTACTTAAACAATCACAAAAAATCACAGATGAAGGAGATTAGAAAAGTTAGTGGTACAAATAAATAAAAAAATAGAAAAAATAGAGAGATCGTAACATTACTAATTATCACACCATATTGTGAAAATCGTTTAATATTCTAACACCCTGTATCGATAAAAAAATAATAGGAACAATATAAAAATGAGAATTATAAGGCCTAATAAAGTATAATATTATGCACAGTTTGTGGGACTAGCACTAAGTATAAAAATAATATATTTTCTGATATATTACACAAATAAAATAAATAAATTAATATTTGGAATGTACACATGTATCACATAAGTGAATGTGAAATAATAATAATAATAATAATAATAATAGTCGTGCTTAAGGGCACAATGTTATATAAATTGTAAATATAATTATTATTATAGCCAGAAATTTAAGAATATATGTAGTTACATATTAACATATTTTTTTTTAATTGTGGCCCTTATAAAAATATGGTTTTTGGTATCAGTTATCAGACACAAAAATGGTTCAGAACCTACAAAAAAAAAGAAAAAGGAGTTCTAAACCATAATTGCCATCATTAATAATTAATAAGGAATAAATAACTACCTAATAAATTAAATTGAGTACCTAGGAAACTACGTTAAAGCATTAAGCAAGTGACTTATACGTTTCTCATTCGCGATTTTAGTTTTTGGAAGATAGATTTAAATTGAAATCTTTTTGAATGTTAGTCTAGACAAAAAAAGTGTCCTTAATATCATTGTTGACAATGTAAAACTATCTTTTAAAATCTTTATTTAGACCACAATCCACACAAAAAGGTCTGTTCTATCTCATTTCGCGCAAAAAAATCACTGCAACACAGACTTTAACGGCGGTCATTTTTGTTGTTTACAATTCAGGTGCTTTGGGTTTGTGCTGTTTATACAGAATAATAATCGTTTTGTAAGCCACAAAGAGGCCTTAAAGTGTTATTTTACTCCTCTTTTGTAAAAAAATAAACCTTATTCTATCAGGGCTGTCAAATGTCAATTTAAAGGTTAATTTGTGGGTTATAAATTAACCTTAAAATTGACATTTGACATTTTGTTAAAATGAGGTTTATTTTTCACAAAAGAGGAGTAAAATGTTTGTCCTGGCCTCATTTGAGGCTTACAAGTGCCTCTGTAAGAAACACACCGTTTAAAACGACTTTTAATCTGTATTAATACAGATTAATAATCGTTTTAAAGGTTGTGTTTCTTACAGAACAAGACCTTGTTGTGTGGATTGTGATTTAGACAATTCGCGACTCGAGAAAACCTTTTTCGACATCTCATGGTACTGGTAATCTACCTTTTACACTTATATTACAAACTTAACTTAACACAACAGTACTACTTGACTTTAATCGTAATCATCATCACTACAGATTCCCGAAGGGATCGAAATTGACGGGTTGTTGTTGCTTGGGATTTTCCGCGGGTTGCTGCTGAACTCCCACGGGAAACTGCTGCATCATGGTTTGCTGACCCATGGGGTCCATCATGGGTTGCACCATGGGCCTGTAGGATTGAGCGGTGGTGGCGGCCATGGGTTGAGGTTGCCAGCCGCCGGCGGTGGTGGTTTTCGGTTGGTTTTTCGGCGAGTTCCACTGCTGACCCCCCCTACCGGAATCCATGGTGAGATTCTCCACTAGGGAGTTGAGACTGGACTCCAAATCGCCGGTGAGGATTTTGGAGGGTTGCGCCGGTCTTTGGGGAGGCGCGTTGGAAACTGGTTGCTGCATGAAGGGTTGAGGTTGAGGGGGTTGTTGAGGTGGTTCCCCGATGGGGTCAAACACGGACGGTTCGTTGGTGTTGAACAATCCGGAGGATGGGAAGTTTTGTGCGGGTGCGGGCGCGTTCTGGAAGTTTGTAGGGAACCCGTTAGACCACGTGGGCGCCGCATTGCCGAAAACGTTGCCGTTTGACTGGGGCGCGGAAAAATCGGCGAACGGGTTACCGAGACCCAGCAAATCGTCCAGAGCACTTGCCGGTTGAGCCGGTTGCACCGGTTGCGGAGTTGAACCGATCGAATCGCCGCCGAACAAATCCAAAATTTGATCGTTCTTGACCACTTGAGGTTCGTCGCTCAAAAACGGGTTTGTGCTTGTTATTGGTGAGCCTATATTCTGCTTGTACTTATTTATGACGGCCTCTTCTTCCGCCAGGGCCGCATTCTCGAAAGTATCTTCAAAAGCAGAACCAAAAGCATTGCTCGTGTTGGACAAAGCAGTAACGCCACTCTTTAAATTCTTTTGGTTCGTCGTGGCGGTGGGAGTGTTGCCTTCCAGCGATGCCAAGTGTTGTTCCAAAGCATCCAGTAAGCTATTTGGCGCCCTGGTTAAATCAGGTATGTCACCTTTATCAATCCCAATGTTCTCGGCAACCTTCAAAAACTCCCCAACTCTATCCATCCTGATCAGGAACTTTTTGTACAAATCCAGAGCTTCCCTGCACTGCTTCTTGTTCATCTCGAAATATTTTTCGAGTAAATTTATAATGCCATCGTTGTAGCAAGCAAACAACCTGATTAAATCGCGGAATAACAGCATGAAACACATGTTTATAACCCCATTTGTTAAATCATTGGCAGTACAATCAAACTCCAGCAGGGCATCCAGTTGGCTTTGTAGGATCGGTAGAGACTTCAGCAAGTTATCTGCATTCATTGTACGCAGTGTACCCTCCTCTTTGCCCCGTTTAACTTTGCAGAAATCAAAGGCTACGCCTCTGTACGATAAAGCTTTCTCGTTTAAATATTTGGCATATCTTCGTATGAATGGTGACATATCGTAGCCAGTTCTAGCACCCACAGCGCTCTGCACACCTGTTTTATCAACGAAATTCGACAGTTGGAACGATACGTTACTGGAAGCTAAATATTGCGTGTATCTCTCGTTTCCGTAGCACATAACGTGGTGAGATGTGATAAGAGCCTTGTACACAACCACCCAACTGGTCGATTGGGACCTCTCGATGAGCAAGTTCGCCATCTGCGGGATGCTCACGTTGGGCTCGTTCGTGCAGTGCACCAGGTAGTCCAGGTGCTTCTTCTTGGGGCCCAGCATTTCTTCGGTGGTGGCCTTGCACACCGACTTGGCCAATCCCTGGCCCGCGAGGCTGTGCTTCGCTGCCAATAGGCGATCGTTTATCGTTTGTCCCGCCATCTTCGATCTCGATCGAGACAAAACGCAATCGGAACAATCGCGAAATCCCAGACACTGACACAACGAGAAATTTCTACGGAAACAGGGTCGATGGTGTCGCGATGTTCGCAGCCGGCGAATCAATAATTACGAAAATAATGGCGAGAGACCCCTAACGACGGTTCGACCAACTGCGATGACGTACACGAAATACCGAAAAACTATCGCAAAAACATTTGAACTGTGACGGCGATTGCAACGCACTCTCATTTATATTATTTGAATATTGTTTTGTCATTTGTTACGATAAATAAACGTATTTAAGATTATTTTTGGGCGCCATCTGTGGGTAACGAGCGAAAGTTAACGATACGAGGGTCGTACGAAAATATCTTCGTATAATGATTTTATATCAAAATAATGTACCAATTGAGATGAAGTTACGAAAATATAAAAAAAATATCGTGAAAACATTTAAACTGTGACGATTACAACTCTATTTTATTTATATTGTGTGGTTATTGTTTTATCATACATCGTTTTAAACGAGACGCGTAAATATACAATAATGTTTCTCAGATCATATATAAGTATGGGACAGTCCCATTGGGACTTATTCAAAGTTCTAAATAAATAAATCAGAAATACAAATTATTTTATAAAAAAACGGAGGATTTTTTTTATAATAATTTTTTACTGACCTTATAAAATTAAATATTACTTTCAATATAACTTAAAAATTATGATAATTTTAAAATACCTTGACAAATTGGTTGCATTGATTAAAACAAACGGTTGTCAAGTTGAGTCAAGTTAAGTTGTCAAAATTCGTAATTAAAAACCCAGGGTTAAAATGCAATTAATTTAGCTTTGGTGGTAAGTAGATGAGTAAAATCATATAAAAAAGTAGTTAAATATAGGTGACTATGGCCCAGGAAAGAAAAAGTATTCGTAATGGATAATAATCTTTACTTTTAAAAAAAATTATTTAAATGTTGTCCAATCATTGGACTCCAATGGTGAATGGGTATTTTGTTAAAGCCACTGGACTTTAATACTTGTAGTGGCTTAATAATAATTATAATGTATATAAAAAGTTTCGTGATTATTGTTTATCTTCTTCAAACCAAATGGATGCTATTTTCAAAGACAGGAAAATTAACTACTAGATTTTTCACAAAAAGGTTGAACCCAACAGCAAATAAATTTTTTTTCCCCCTTATTTTATTAAATTTCAAACATTTTTAATCTGCTTAGCTGAAAATATTGTGTGATTTAATATTTGTGAAACCAAAAACGTTACTTTTTTACTCCAAAATTGTCTATAAGGCAATGTAATTTTTCTGCCATTGAGGCATTTGGCATAACTTCATTGAAATGAAGTTTGGCCCTTAAAAGTTCTTTTACTTTAGTAGGTATCTGATATTATTTTTGGCATAGTTATCTTTTTATATTCATATTAAATAATAATTAACAAGTAAATTATCAATAATAAATATTACTGTCAATTTAATTAGTATTTAATTAAGGTCTTGAGCAGAAGTACCATTTGTAAATACTAAAAATACTAAATTTAACTAGCATAATAAAAAAACACGAGTCCAATTAAAAAGAAAATGAACTGTATAGTTCCAGACAAAACTTTAATTTCAATTTCAGAATAAACTGTACAAAATAAAACTTGTGTGCTTATTATCTAACTTAATTAAAAAACTACCAAAATCTCACCTGTAATTCTGGACTGACACCTTGGGGGATCCTTTGGAGACCAATTCCCCCCCTGAAGACACTGCAAACTGCTGTAGCCGAGCAAAGTATACCCCAAATGACACTTGTAATGAATTCTCTGCCCGATAAAATACCTCTTCTCATTTGGGTCATCATTATCCACAATGTAATACCCATTCTTAATATCGACAGGCTTGGGGCAATTTTTCAGCATGCATTTGGCAATGGGGCCTGTCCAAATACCTTTCTCACATACTCGGTATTGGGATTCAGACGGTATCAAAGTAAAGCCATCAAGACAGGAATACGTTGCTACAGCGTTTTTGTGGTAGTAACCGTTGCTGTCTTTCTCGCCTTCGATTTTTAGGGCCCCATCGGTTATGTATGGTGGAGGTCTGCACCGTCTGATGCACGATGGTCGAACAGTGTCATCCCATTTGCCATTAATGCACCTAATTTGCGAAATACCGTCCAAATCGAAGCCGTTTAGGCACGAAACGACTGCGTATAGTTGTTCACCTTGATAGCTCACATCAACAGTACCATTATCAATGTTGTAGAAGTCAGGGCATTCAAATTCGCTATCTTTTGTGGTGTTTATGGATATTTTATCCGCGTTGTTGTTGTGCAAGTATATCAGCAGCAATAAATACAACGAATTCATCATTAATTTGTCTGCGTTACATTAGTTTTACGCTTTATTTTGGTTTTTGGTTAGAATTCATTGTTTTGGAAAACAAAAATTTTGACAGTTGTCGAATCGATCAGTTGATTCTGGTCAAGGTCGACTGTACCAAAGATGCACTCAAAAATGCCAATTCATCAAATTTTAATGATTTATGAACATAATATCACATAAAAATGTATGGAAACGCTGCTTAATCCGGACTTTTCGGAATCGAATCGTATTGAGAGTGCTTGCATGAGATCGAAGTTGAAGTGGCAACCAGTTGGTGGCAACGTCGCATTTTTTTTATCAAATAGTTTGTTAACATATGAAATATATATTTCATATAATTCTTGAAACAATTAAAGGGTACAATGCAATAACCAGTTCAGTCCATAACAGTTAAATTTTATGGCAGATAAAAGTCCATTACTCTGTGTTTTAAAGTATTTTATGGTAGGCAACTAACAATACATCTGTGTATTGCTTATTCCATACAATAGAGAGCTGATTATTTCGCCGGATGAAAAAAATTTTTTCCTGACTGCTTAAAAAATTGACTTAACCGGATAAATGTTATAATTTTATACAAGATAAAATCAAATTTTAACCAGCTTTATCCCTTCGTAATGAAAGTGCAATGTTGCCACACAAAATTCGATCTCGTGCACAGAGATCTCTGATCTTTTTTATTTCGTAGAACAGAAAAAACTTAAATATTGCTAATTTTTAGTAAGCAAAACTGTGTTGTGACCAGAAAAATGGGTATGGGTGAATATATTGAGATGTCCCCCAAATGAAAATGATTATTTTTTATTTTTGGTTGTTTCACTGTTAGTCTAGAATGGGGTTTTTGGGAAGCCACCAGGTCTAGTAATAACATAACATAAGTGGTTCTGCACTAATGCAAGAATTTTAAGAAATCTTACATTTTGAATATTAGAGCTTCACGGAAGATAGCTTCACGGAGGTTAGGATTTCGTATGTTTTTTTAAACATCCCTTTGTATATTTGAAATAAGTTATTGTATCTTTTGACACCTTAATATTTTTTAAAAATACAATACATAAAATGTTTATAAAAAATCTACTTACTGAGATATTACACTTCACGGTGGATAGGTTTTTAAAAAGCAAATTAATGAACTTTAACTTTTGAATTATAAAACAGCAACACTCTCATCTGCATATAAATTTTAACTGACATTCAGAAATCACATGCATCTATAATGTCGTAAACAGAGGTTTTTGCTTATTTAAAATGATTAAAGCGCCATCCGTTGCATAAAATTTAAAGAAAAACAGATTCACGGAGGATAGAATCAATTTTTGTAAACCTACATAAATGGTTATAAAAATTACTTATGTCTTTTAATTTTTAATATTTTATATTTGATAGTTTTTTTAATATTTTTGATTTTTTTAAAACTTATTAAAAATACCCCAAACAGGAACGTCACATTAAAAACAAATTAATTTTAAAAATTATCGAATTTTTGGTAACACTAAGTGGTAAATAAAACAACTGATATTAAATAAATACATAGATTTATTAATACCCGTTTGGTTAAATACTACATAACATTATATATTTTCATAAAACATATCACATATAAATAAACAAAATATAAAAATCATTATTTTGTGCAAAAATTTGTACTGTAAAATCACAAACATTTACCGTTTATTGAACTTGAATTCGGACTCCATTTTATCGGCCATCATTTTGGCGATCGCCAGTGAACTGGTAGCCCCCGGACTTGGCGCGTTCCTGCAATGAAGCACCCGCTGTCCCACCTCGGTTTTGCCTTTTTTATACATGTCGAAGTAGAAGTCGTCCACCAGGTTCCCTTTTCGATCGAGGGCCTGAGCGCGGACCCCTGCGGGACCTCTTCTCACGTCTGCTCTCTTCAGCTGCGGTACGAATTTTTGGAGTTGTTTCACTTGCAAGCTCAAGAAGATGGAGTACAGGTATTCTTTAATGCCGGCGGTTACGAACTTCATCGAGAGTTTAATGAAGCCTGGGTACGTTAGCGCGTCAAATAGTTCTCGCAGATTTATATCGGACCGCCTAAAATATTTAGAAAATATATCTTTAAATTTTTTCTGACCTATACTTTTTATGGTTTTATTCAAGGCGTTTTGTAATTTTAAACATTTCTGTGAAATCGGAATTTCAATTGAGTTTACCGTATTCGAGATATTTACAAAAAAAAAATCTCCTAATTACGTCACTAGGCTATTGACAACGTTGCCAGCTTTTTCTATGGTTTAGTTTAAGATTCTTACGATAGATGGCGCCACGTTATAATATTTTAGTTTTAAAACCACTTGATCTATAATTTTAGTTGAGAAGAAGAAGAAGAATTGATTTTTTGACGTTTCTTTTCTTCGGGTTATGTTTTTTTTAAATTTAGATTATTGAAAATCAATGTTATTGTTATGTTATTTGTAATTGATATTAGATAAGTGATTTATTAATAACGGACTCCAAAGCAGAGGAATCTTGTGGAATGGTTGGTTACATTGAACATTGGAGCTTTTAAACAAATAAAGTAAGTACCTATAATTATAATCATATTTTGTCGTAAATACATTTCATTAGTATAATGCCTAGTTCTTTGTATTCTTTTAGATATATCTTGGACTCTAAAATATCAAACAGTAATATGATACCTCGTAATAAGGAAGATAGGTACTTAATGAATTTGGTGACCATCTTTCACTCAACTGACAGTGACAGTATTTGTACATTACCTCTTCGGGTATTTTCTGACATAACCGAATGAAATCATTAACAAGACAACTTGACAACAGGGTAATTTTCAACCAATAGAAATCTTAGAATGTTGGTCACATGGCGAGGTTTATGACGTCATAAAAATTTATATTTTTTGTAAATATCTCGAAAACGGTAAACTCAATTGAAATTCCGATTTCACAGAAATGTTTAATATTACAAAACGCCTTGAATAAAACCATAAAAAGTATAGGTCAGAAAAAATTTAACCACCCCATTCCAAATCTTCCCCAAAAATTTTTTATTTGTAATATCAACAGTGTGCATTGGATTGTCTTTCATTTAGTATTTATGAAGTAATGTCAATGTCAACGTCTGACAATTGTGTCACATGGGTGATAAAATATAAATATGAAATAGAAACTTTTAATGTGTAGTATCAGTATTGTGCGTTGGATTGTTTTTATTTCGTATTAAAGAACTTTGAAAGAATTATCCATTTAAAGTTCAAAAATTATATTGAAAAAATAAACAAATGTAACAAATAAAACAAATCTAAAGGCCCTTTTGTAAATGACCGATTAATTTCTTATTGAAACCAATTGAAGTATTGGGTGGTATCAATAGGTTTGAATTGGACTTACTGGGTTTAATTGGGAGCGATATAAAACAGAAATTGGTTTTTACTGGTATTTTCCATGATGGAAAAGTCCGATTAGGATTCTACTGTTTTTTAGTGGTTTCGATTGGTTAAAGCCACCCATAGGTAATTTCCAATTGAATTCAATTGGGCATTCTCAGTGTGAAATTCTAAAAAGGAATCTGCTAATTGGTTATTCCCAATACTTTAAAATATCGCAAGAGGGCTCTCGTGTAGCTGCGCAAAACCAATGTAAGCAGTCCTTGTTCGAATGGTTGAGACGCCATCATAAAGAAACAAACAAGTCTTTGGACGCTATTAATGCCGTTTTTTATTAGTCGGTTTCTTTTATAATCTATGGGTTTTTGTGCTTAGTGGTAGTTGTGTTACACAGTACTTATAGTACAGTACAGTACTTATAGTGGTGTGTACTTATACTAAGAAAGACTAAAAAATGATTATAACCGAGTAATTTTATTTATTTTTAATTACTTTTTTGTGATAGTAAGTTTTTTGTCTCTTCTGTGAAAAATAAATTCTGGTTTTTACCCGGTTATTCTTCTGGGATCTTAATTATTTTTCAATGAAAAATCAACTGGTATTTTTATTTCCAAATTTAAAAAAATAAATTGGTTCAAATTGGGTTTGGCGCTATGAATTACCAATTCATTCCAGGTGCATTTCTATTGGATTTAGCCAATAGAGACAAGAATAGGCATGGAATGGTATATTCCAATTTAAGCCGCTGACTTCATTGGAACTTACCAATAGGAATGCAACTGGAATGAATTGGTGATTCATAGCGCCAAAGCACATTTCAAACCAATTAAGTACTTATTTTTTTATTGGAACGAATCGAAACTGAACAAAACTCACCTATATCCCTCTCTTTTGAAGGCCAAAACGGCATTGGGTCCCAACCAAACACTGCCGTCCATCCTGGGGGTGAAATGCACCCCCAAAAAGGGGAATCTGGGATCGGGAACGGGGTAAATATTCCCCTTGACCAAGTTGGTCTTGGATTCGTCTAGTAGCAAGTACTCGCCTCTGAAAGGAACGATGCGCGGGTCTCTTGGACACCCTGAAAGTTCGGCTAGTTTATCAGAAAAAAGACCGCCGCACGTGAGGACATACTTGGCTAGTACTTTGTCTCCGCTTTTCGAGGTCAACAGGACCGGGTATTCGGGGTTCTGGGAGTCTTTAAAACCGTTAACTTCGAAGCGGAAGTGGATTTTGCCGCCGTCCCCTTCGAAATCCTTCCCGTAGTACTGCGTAACCAACGCCCAATCCACGATTCCTGTGATGGGGGACCATATGGCTTCCACGCCTCGGCAATTCGGCTCTACCTCCTTAATTTCTGCCTCGCCTTTCAGGAGCTTCATACCTTCAACGTTATTCTTTAACCCTCTTTCGTACAAATTGTGCAACCTCCCTACCTCTTCATCTGAAGTGGCCACAATCAGTTTGCCGACTTTCTTGTATGGCACTCCTTTGTCCGCAAAATACTTGTAGGATAACTGGAGACCTTCAACGCACAACTTCGCCTTAAGAGATCCAGGGGTGTAATAGATTCCCGCGTGGATCACCCCGCTGTTGTGACCGCTTTGGTGCACGGCCAGCTTGTGCTCCTTTTCGAGGATGGCCATGTTCAAGTGCGGGTGGCGGATTTTTAGTTCTCGTGCGGTTGCCGTTCCCACTATGCCGCCTCCGACCACCACTATGTCATATTCTTGACTGAAAAATAAAAAATCCAATTTAAAAGATTAACACACAGATAGCACACAACGTCTTTTGTATGTCTGTATTATGACTGAACGTCTGAAGATCTAAAAAAGACGTCTGAAAGACGTCTTAAAGATATCTTCATTTAATGTTCTAAAGACATCTTATAAATGCCTATATGCTTATTTTTTAATTTTTTTTGATAAAATAGTGAATTTGGAATTACATCCCATAGCCACTTCATAGTAAGATATAATTAGGTACCATCGTATTTTGGTGTAATAGAAACAACATTAATGTAGAATTTTGAGTTTTGACAATGATGATGGGTAGGGTAACTGAATAAATTTATATCTGACATTTTTGTAGATTGGTTATTTTTCCTAGAATTAATAATATCCATTTGTAATAAAAACATTATAAACAAATGAAGTATTAAGACAATATAATCTTAAAATAACCCAGTGAAAGTTTTTAAATCAAATTACCCGCACATTTCCCATAATGCAATGAAATCATCAAATAAGTCACGACATACACTGAAAGAAATGCATTGGTCCTTATTACTCAAAAATAGTAATGATTACAAATATAATATGTTAAAATGGCGACAGTCCAGTTCATGGGCTTGTTTTGATTTGGTCATAAAAAAGTACCTACCTAGGTATAATTATAATATTTTTAATTCAGCGGTTAATTTTTCAAAAAGCTACCAAAAGCACATTTTTCATGATTTTTCAAATTCATGTAGAGTATGGAATTTTTTTTTTCAAAAAAACAATAGCAAATTCTTGTAGAACATTTATTCATTGGTGGTTAATTCAGAACATTCCGAGGACCAAAAAGGAAAGACAAAAATTTTTTTTATTACGGTATTCGTTAGGATTAAGCGTTTTTCATCTAAATATCTCAAAACTAGAAACTTCAAGCTTCAAAGCTTTTTTACGGCTCCAATACGACCATTTTTAAAGAAGATACAGCTATACGAAAAATCGCAAAATATTTGAAATTTTTTTTTATCCTTTAATTTTTTCTATTAGTGTAGAAGTTTTACATTGCTATTGGTTTCTTATGTGGAAACTACCAAATAATAAGAAATCAGATTTTTTAGTCCCGGTCAAAATTTTCAATAATGAAAAATGTAATAATTTCATTTTATTATTAATATACATTTTACTCAAAATTTCATTTTGAAAAATTAATCCATTTTTTAAGATTGATGTTATTTACTGACAGATTATGCTTTATTGTAGCAGTTTTGAAAAAAAAAAACAAAAAAACGGTTTTTTAGGTATTTTTTCATGTTTTTTTCACTTCTAAAAATACTGTTTTTTACATCTCTAAAAAAAAAAAAAAAAAAAGATGGCTTACGCCCTAAACTGTCTTAGAGATGTCATAAACATCCGAGTTCGACATCTTTAAGATGTCTCTATGCTATCTGGGCGTGGTAATGATTTAAAATACTAACTAATATTTAAGCATAAGACTAATTTAATATGTTTTTTCTTGATTAAAAACTGTAACACCAGAAACGTTTCGGGTGTTACAACTTTTTTTATATTTCAGTACATGTGTGTGTATTGCAATAAGCAAAGGCTTTGTTATCTATGGCAATAAGTGTTATTTTGAAGGCTCTTTCAACGGCCCACTAGCGCCGCCATCGGAAAAGCAGTCACACCTCTTTTGAAGAGCTGTGACTGCTTTTCCGATGTTGTAGAACCTACCAAAATTTCGGTATTTATGTTTATTTGTTACTTACTTATTTTGTAGTACTTAGAGACTAATAAAACACCGATTTTGTCCACATAAAGTGTTTAATTTTTGTACTTGTAACACCCGAAACAGAACCATGGTTATCAGAAACGCATTAATTTTCAATTACCAATTTAAATGTGGAATTTTATTTTGAATAAAAAGCTCAAAATTTGCAAAATAAACGTACCATAAATTAAAGAAATTTTACTTACGTTGGGTTGGCACTAATTGCCAAACTTCGAACATTTAAAACACCTACTCCACTCCCGATTTTTCCCAGTTTCAAAACCCCCCCAACTCTAGCCATTTTCTTCGACAACGCCCAATTAAACACGCACAAACTTTAATTTTTTCATGAACCACATCCAATTTGCCAGTACTGAGAATTTTCAAAGCAGTTTCCTAATTTTGTGATAATACATCCATTTTACCAAACCTTACGTAATGAAAAGCGCAAGTGACATTTTCGACCTTGACTCAGTCAAATTTAAAGGGGAGGTTAGAAAAAACCTAGTGAAACCTGTTAAGTTTAGTCGAAAGTTTGACTATTAAAACATAGATGACGCCATATCATACGTTTGTAATAAATTATTTTTTTTTGTTTCTTAATAGTTTTTATAACTAAATTTTATAATTTTAAAGTAATGAATATCAGTAAATAATAAAAAAATAATTTTATAATTTTTAATAAATATTAACAAACAATAAATACCAAATCATTTTATACTTAAGTATTGGTTATTTATTTTATAATAATTATAATAACTGCATATAAAATATATTTAGCACAAATAGGTTCACAAGTAGTATTTCCTCCACTACTTAGTTTTAGTGTTTTGAATACCTATCATCCTAATAATCGCAAATTAGATACTTAAACATTCTGTTTGTTCCGTTTAAAAGCTTTGTTTAGCTCTTTTATTATTTAAAAGTAAATTGCCGGTGGTTTCGTGGTTCATATTTTGTGAGATTTGTTTTTAAGGTTTAGGAAAATGGGTCGTGAAAAGTCAAAGCAAGATGTTATTATGCTGTCTGTCGTACAAATTTCTTTGGCGGCACTGTTCATTATTTTTTGCAGATACAATTCTCATTATGAAATCGGAAAATATACAAGTAAGTGACTAAATAATTTATAATAGGTACTTTATTTACTGAATACTAAATTTTAAGTTGTCAAATTGTATATAAATAAGAAAAATGTTTTTATTTAAAATTTTTCTGTAAAATATCATTTTTAATAATAACCGAATTTCTAAAAAAAATATTTTGTTAATTTTTAATATTTCCTGTTATTTTAAAAAACAAATTATTGAATAATATTTTTAATTATTCATTTTTAAATTTTTCATATTTTTTATACTTTCTGTTATTATCTAAAATATAAAATTTGTATGAACTGGTTATAGTTTATCCAAATAATATTTACAAAATAAGTATAATAATAGAAATTAACAAGTACCACTTAATACAGTTTCAAGGATATAATTAATAAGGAAATATGAAACCATAATAACAAAAAAATCATTTATATAGGTGATTCTACAAAAGTTGGGCAACTTTTGACCTCATTTTGTTTATATAGTATTCGGAGAAAATTAAACAGTATTTTGTTATGAAAATATAGATAATATAATAAATATACTGTTCCAGACCGGGCCAGTCACTTTTTCAAACTGTTTCTGAAATATCTGTGTTTTCTAAATTTGAATGCAAGGGAAGTGGCGAGTATACCTGGGTACTAATTAAAAACATAATTTATTGGAAAATATAAGATTTATTGCAACTTTGAGCATATTACACATTAAATATCTTAAAATCAAATAATACCACACATCAGTGACGGCTGGTGGATTTTGGGTATACCGATTTCTCAATTATTAGATATGGGACCCACACCAAATTTATATGAGTTTATAATGACATTAAATAAACAAGTTCTGCGCAAGAAGAATTTAGATTGAAGTTTGCGAAAAAAAGATAACTGAATATAGTTTGTAGTGAAATTGAAAAATTTAAGATAAATTGAATATATTTTAAAATAAAATCACTAAAATATTTTATTCAGGAGTTGTGACACGTCAAGGTACTGATGTTTTGAATATTTATTATGTTTTTCTACAAACGTGCTTTTGAAAAAAGACATTAAAATTGGGTGGACAAGTTAAAAAAACCTGGGATCTTTTGTAATATACAAAAAATATTAAAATACCTACTCTATTGACTGATGACATCAAGTTGTCCAATTTTGTAGAATCACCCATATAAAGGGTGTCCTGAAACTTTTAGGGTTTTTTCAACAGTATTTTTTTTAAATTTGGTACTACCAACTACCAAAATAATCCCCTAAATCGCAATATAAATTATAATCCTACATTATTCTAAAAATTTTGGAAAATAGAAAGTCTTTTCGTAAAATTGTTATCTGAAAATAATTTTTACATAAAAAAAATTAAAATACAAAAATTCAAATAACTTGAAGAATTGTTCTATATTTAGATATTTACATTTAAAAAAATTAAAACCGATGTTTTTTTTGCATTTAACAGTAACGCATTTAATAATAATTGTTAAAAAGCCATTGATAATTACATAGTAATATAAAAAATTAAAATTGGTATAAAATCCCGGCGCATTCGCCATTTTTGACAATAAATCCAAAATAATATTTCTCTTAATTCATTCATTAGGTATATGCTAAATTTTAATCAAATCAGCACCTGTACGACCAACTCTAATATTCTTTAGTTAAAAAATGTTTTTCCAAGCGAAAGACCAACTTTTCATGTGCACTGCCGACAACGTAAAGCAAAGTTTGGTGGTTTTCTTTTTACAACTCGCATTGATTTTATTTTTCATCGTATTCATTTCGTACGATGATTATGCCGACGCCACCAACCCGAGAATCGCTCTCACCTGTTTTTGGCGGCTTCAGACAAGACATCCATGAATTCAGCCAAGTCTACATCAGTATGTATAGCGTGTTCACTGGGTGGAAAAGGGCGGGGAACGTTCATAGTGTCTGTATCTTGGGGAGTTTTCGAGTTGAAAAGTTGCCATTTCATTACTAAATATATATTGTTGTTCAGTACAATGTGCGCAAATGTCAAAACTCTAAATTGTATTATAAGTGAGATACAGGCGGTTTAATAAAAACACAAACTTTTTCACTTTGTGAACATGGTTTATTTATATTAAAAAAATGTTTGTTTTTAGTGTTTCAAGATGTCCACGTGATGATTTTTGTGGGTTTTGGTTTTTTAATGACGTTCCTGCGTCGTTACGGTTACAGTGCCGTAGGGTTTAATTTTTTATTAGGCTCTATTATAGTGGAATGGTCCTGTGTGTGTTTGGGCTTTTATAACATGTCCGATGACTATAAAATATTAATTAGCATAGAGAGGTAATTAAAATTTAACAGTTTAACTGCATAATCCATACTGATTGATAGGCCTGTAAAGTTTATTGGATATTATAATTATATTTAAAAAAAATTGTTTAATCACGTATTGGATTTTTTTATATGATTTTCCCTTTAATAGGTATTTATCAAGGCAGTAAAGTCGTATTTTTTATCACGAATGTGATAAAAATTGACTTTAATGCCGAGGTGCATATTAAATTTTTAATAATACTAATAATTAATATTTATGATTAAGTCAAATGTCATTTGAATGTAGGATGTGTCTACGTATACTGTTTGTTGCGACGGTTATTATATATTTGCCCGCCGCGGCGATTTTTTAATCTAATTAATAAAATTAACTTATTATTTTTATAAACAACATTTTATGAAAGGGTCCAATCGACCTCCGCGACGGTGCTTTTTTTTAAATATTATTTAGTTGCTGCTGAGGAGCAGTAGACACATCTTAAAATGTATAATGGGTTGCATACAATACTTGTATTAAATCGGCAGTAAAGTTCTACTTAACTGCCGATTTCGGATAACCAAATGTATTTAATAATGATAAAAATTCTACACCTTGCATATCTTTACATTTTTAGCTTGTATCAAGCCGATATAGCTTCAGCTGCGGTTTTAATATCTATGGGAGCCGTTTTGGGACAAACCTCATACATGCAGCTAATTATAATGGGAATTATTGAAATTGCTGTGTACAGTGGCAATGCCTATTTGGGACTTCAAGTTTATAAGGTAAACCAAAACATTATATTATCTAGATTGTAGATATTTGGAGTCTTTATTTCTTCTTCTTCTTCCTAGGAACCAAAGGGTACCACCTGTTAAGGTATTTCTAGAGCTTAAGGCTATTCGTCTTTTTCCTGGTATATTATGTCGTTTGATATTGTAAAAGTCTTCTTGCTATAATGCTTTTCTTTCCACCTTTCAAACTAATTATACTAAAACCCTTTACTTCTTCTATTTCTTCATTGCTTTTATTAAACGATCTTCTGGGCTTTTTTTCTAGCCTTGTTGTCATTCTTGTATATGATTTTGTTTCGTCGCCAGGTGGTAGATATCATCAGCTAACTCCAGATCTTCCAACTTTTTAAAGACCTGCATACAATTGCTTTTTGTTACATTATAAATTTTAAAGACTGCATTGTTTTAAGTTCGCATTTTAGGCTGTAGACGCAGGCGGTTCAATTTTTGTTCACACTTTTGGAGCATATTTCGGTTTGGCTGTTAGTTTTGTTTTGAACAAAAAGAAAACGGGATCCGTCCAAGAAAGCAATTTGGAGGAGTCAACTTATACGTCAGATCTATTTGCTATGATAGGTAAGAAACAAAGAATAAATAAAATTATTATTTCGTGCTTATTTATTCATTCATCTTCCCACAAAATTTCGTTAATCATGGACGATTTTCAATATAAATGTTGAGAAGACTTTTTACAAAATATATTATGCATGTGGACAATAACAGTACAGTCCGCGCATTATAACTTTGAAAAGTGAAATAAACAAAATATATGTATATATATATTTATATATATACATTATATATATATATATATATATATATATATATATATATAAATCTTTAATATTTTAGATACTTAGTACAATTACTTTAATCCCATAGATATTGCCTGGTGACATCTTTTTATCCAATCCTCTTGCGATATTTTAGCAATTTTTTTTGCATCGTCAAATTTAAAAATGACATTTCTCCGAGCCACATTATTCTTAACTGTTGCCCAAATGAGCTCAATAGGATTGAGATCGGGGTGGTAGGGTGGTAACCTCAACACAGTGTGTCCATGCTCTGCAAAACATCGTACTTATATTGTTTAAATGTGTCTATGTTTTTTTTATAATTTCCTATAATTGAGGTTTTAGCATACTAGGATGAAATTCAATCTTTTTGCATTTAACCAATCTATCATATCTGCTTTCCTTGAATTTGATGTGGCTGTGGCAAATTCGGTAAAAGTTTTTCCTGCAACAAACTTTCCGTAGTTCATCTCATGATGATAGTCGCCTGTTTTAGTGCCTGATTTAAACATTTAGAGGCAGTTTGTTTGTGTTACCTTCACTTTTTTAATTTAATATATTTTTTAAACTACTTTATTAATAATTTTGCTATAGGATGAAATTTGGGTACACTTCCAAACACGTGTTAACTGAACTTGAACGAAATTACGTCAACTGAGCATAGGGCGTTCTCGCCAAGTTATAACGCGCGGAGTGTATATCATGTTACAAGAGATGTAATGCTTATTATGCTCGAGTAGTACTGTTTTTGACAATTTACAGTCGTAGATGAATAATTTATTGCAATCTTTGTTAGGCACCATCTTCTTGTGGCTCTACTGGCCAAGCTTTAACGCCGTAGACTTGTCCGGAGACGATCAGCACCGAGCTGTCATCAACACGTATCTGGCGTTGGCCTCTTCTTGCGTCACGTCTTTTCTAATGTCGCAAATTTTAACGGACGACCACAAGTTCGACATGGTGCACATACAAAATTCGACGCTAGCAGGCGGCGTGGCAGTCGGCACGTGTGCCAACTTAATGATACAGCCGTACGGGGCCTTGCTCGTGGGCATTGCCGCAGGGGCACTGTCTGTGTACGGATACGTCAAAATTACGGTAAGAGGTCATGTTGTCGCAATAACGTTATTTTGTCGTCTGGTCCACAAATTGCATTTAGGTTGTATTTTAATATCTCTCACGACTCCGAATCGAGAATCTTCAGGAATCGGTTGGTTATATGAATAAGCTGCGTGACGGCAAAAAAAATTAGTATTAGTATGAATAATACATTTTTTTAATCAATATTGAGATACTTTTAAATGCCAGCTATGTTCGAACTCTTGACGACGCACATACAGGTATTTGCACGATCTACGCGGCCAAAATTATTTTTATGCTTAATTGGTATCTAAATAACGTAAATAAATAAAAAAACTTATTTTTACAAAAAAATTATGTTTTTTACAAAAAAATATATATATTTCCAAAAAATACAATTTTTTAGGTCGGTAAAAAGGAAGAAAAACATAATAATACTAAGTTTCTTGACTTTCTTTGTTGCTCTCTGATGATTTTTTTGATATATTGGATTCTGCACATACAAACATTGCCAAGGTTTTAGGCAAAAGTGTTTTTGCTTTTTTTTTACAGTTTGCATGCTACTTAGTATAGTATCTGAACTAAGTAGAAGGCAGTTAAAAATATCCTGATTACAATTTACCCTGGAAAATTTTCTCACAAAATCTTGGCGGTATTATAAAAATTAGAATGAAGTTCTTCCGTTTTTTTCCTTCGAACGACTTGGATGGTCGACCTGGCCGTTTTTGTGAAGTCTCAACAAAAGGTATTTTAAAAGTACCTTCCAGCCAAGGCCGATTGTATTTTATAAAATTATCTTCTTTATGAGCTTTGGTCCTTATTAAATTTCTGATTTGAAATTGGCCAAAAACTAAAAATTTGGTCTTCATTATAACCTTCACATGACATACTCCCTAAAAATGAATTAGTCAAAAATGACTAATAATTAGACAATTATTGTCATAGCGAAAAAACATCCACTGATAATTCTCGTCAATAGCAATTTGTATCCCACATTCAGCAGTCAATTTCCATGTAAAATTGTCCCCTGAATCCGAAAAAGTTAGAAAAGTATAACATTTTTTGAGAAATAGTCAATTTTCCATATAATATGGAATTGACTATATCTTAAAAACTGCTCTACTTTTATGATTTTTGACGGTATTTTCGGAATCAAGAGACAATTTTACTTAAAAATTGGCTGTTAAATGTTGGGGAACATGGTATATGTGAAAAAGCAGCCGCTAATAACTGGTAATTAGTCATTTTTGACTAATTCATTTTTAGAGAGTAAGTTGATCTTTTAGATAGTTTAATTTGGCATCTAAATCTTTCTTCATGAGGTCAAACAAGTATTGTCAGGTCACAATCATTACTTCTGATACACCCTCTGAGCCTAAAACAAACATACACTATGTTAAAAGTCGCTAACAAATATTTAAAATTTTATACGAAATTTCGCTAAATATCTTTAATCCCTCAAAACTGTATTTATCCGGATGTTTCCGGAGATGTTTTTGATAGTAGTTATAAGGAAAAAGATTAAATAATGACCTATAATAATAACCATAGCCCGATCTACCCCGATACATAAACAAAAACACTAGTAAAGAAAAAATATTGAAAGAAATCACGGTACGAAAATAAGTATTTTCATTATAAAAAAAATAATGTTGTTTAATAGTAGATCATGGCTTAATCAATGTTGTTCGTAAGTTTCTTACCTTGTCCATCAGAATGCATCACTTTCAATTCGTAAGAAGAACCTGATAACATAAAAATTCACTTTGGAAGTTTGATGTTTAGAAAAGCGCCAAGAACAGATACGTACACTATGTAAAACTATCAAATTTAGACTGGCGCTACGGGTGCGGGGTGCGCGGTAGCAGGTAGATTGAGTAACCGAATAGTTCCCGGGTTCGTACTCTCTTCATGGAACTCGTTTATACGAATGTTATTGTAATTTTGATATTGGGACTTTTTGCCGCGTAGATCGTGCAAATACCTGTATGTGCGACGTAAGAAAGACATAGCAAATGAGACCTCGTTTGAAACCAAAATTCACAACCCACAATAAACACTCCTACAGTGCAAATAAACTATAATGCATTGTAGCTACAGTGAATAAAGGCTACCTTACGGTCACGGAAGTAATAGAGTATGAAGTGATAAGTGACAGCATACCTGGCGGACTAACCATCTGACAACAGGAAGCATTCTATGTAAAGAACGAACGAGGCTAACCAAGAGTGGAAAGGGCCATCATCTGCAAACATTTACCACATTCAGATACCTACACAACCCTAAGAGCGATTCTTTCCGCTTAAACACAACCCTAGTAAAAAAATAAAACATAAAAAACAATGGGGCCAGTTGTACGAGTCTTATACTCATTCTCATACTCAATATTGAGATACTTTTTAATGTACTGTTTAACTCTCAGTCAGCGACAAAGACCAAAATCTCGTACATTTCCAGCCTATCATCGAAGAATATACCGGGATACACGACACGTGCGGCGTTCATAACCTGCACGGCATGCCTGGGGTGCTCGCAGGACTTTTTGGCGCCCTGATGGCGGGCATAGCTAGCGAAAGCCTCTACAACGAAAGTCTCTACGAGATTTACCCTGCTCTATCGAGCCCCACCTCGCAAGCCGACACCGAGTTTACGCAGACAGGACCCGGTTTGGGAAGGACAGCAGGTGAACAGGCCGGTTTTCAGATTTTGGCTTTGGTTACCACCATGGCCATTGCTGTGGTTACAGGATTAATAACAGGTAAGAGGATCATGGTTTATTAAATTTTATGGTCAGTGATGACAATGATTGTGCTTGACTGAGACTACAAACATTAACTTTTCCAGGCGAATTCCCAGGTACCACAACTGGTTAAATAACTAGTATTCCAAGTAAATTAACTAAAATCTTAAGTAAAATAACATTCTTTTAAACAGTTAGTTGTATTCAACATTTTAAGAGTTTAAATTGACTATAAATAAACCAAATATTTAACTAGTTAGTAATATTACCTATAAGTTAAAAAGTAGGGTATTTTAGAAGTTACATAACGTTATATTAACCTTTGAAAATGGTTAAGACATATTTTGGTTTAGTTTAACTTTTTGATAAATTAACCACAGCTTTGATTAATTTTGATATATTTTTTTAACCACCAAGTTATATTTCACCAAATAAATTTTAACTTGCTGGTAAATTAACGTTAATTAATAGAAAAATTAATAAAATAAAAATAAACCTATAGGTTCTGAGTTTTGTGTGATAATGGAGTTAACAAGGTTGTAAATCATAATTTATCTACAAATCTTAAAACAGTCCCCTCACACTTAATTAATTTGGTAAGCATCTATGGTTTTATCACAGAACAAATGCGTTTTATAAAAATAAAGCAGGGCTGCAACTAAAATCAGAACGTACGAATTTTTTTTAGGTTAGTTATTTTAAACATAACAAGTCAGTTTCATTTAACTAAATTTGGTAAAACACAATATTATTTTATGTTTAAAATTATTTTAAATCAGTTTTAAAGAAAATAAAGACAAAATAGGCAAACAAAAATATATATTTTCTTTATTTCTTATTTGTTTCAAAACGCATTTGTCCCGCTGTTTTTTTCCTTAGAATTATCTCTTAAAGATATCAATTGATAAAATTATATGGGTGATTCTACAAAAGATGGTCAATTTTTGATTTCATTTTGTTTATATAGTTTTCGGAGAAAATTAAACAGTATTTTGTTATGAGAACATAGATAATATAATAAATATACTGTTCCAGAACGGGCCAGTCACTTTTTCAAACAGTTTCTGAAATATCGGTGTTTTCTAAATTTGAATGCAAGGGAAGTGACTAGTATACCAGGATACTAATTAAATACATAATTTATTGGAAAATATAAGATTTATTGCAACTTTGAGCAAATTATACATTAAATATCTTAAAATCAAATAATACATCAGTGGCGGCTGGTGGATTTTGGGTATCCCGATATCTCAATTATTAGATATGGGACCCACACCAAATTTATATGAGTAATAACATTAAATAAACAAGTTCTGCGCAAGCAGAATTTAAATTGAAGTTTTCAAAAAAAAAGATAACCGAAACATCAACCATGGAACTGACGACACAGTACTGATGAATGAGATACAAATTTGAGATTATAATTCGGAATTAAGTATTTTACTGATATTTTTTATAAGTGAATGCTACTTATCAACAAATCACATATAGCCTTATAGAAATTACAATGAAATATATATACGTAAGAAAATAACTACTCACCACAGTACTAAAATTTTGACTGGAACTATACGTGCATTCCCCACAACTTCGCCGCTTGCATTGTTTTCAAGATGACTATCGTACAAAGGGCGGGCTCTGTAGGTAATTTTTTACCAACACTTGAGTTAAAACGAGAACTTGACGTTTAAACTAAATATTTCTAAGGAATTTTGAATTTTAACATTGGACACAGAACTAACGGGTAAAAGTTTATCAATTTTTTAAAAATTGCTATTATTCGAATCTATGATAAAATATGAAGAATACATTATTTAATGTTTTATAGTTCGTAGTGAAATTGAAAAATTTAAGATAAATTGAATATATTTTAAAATAAAATCACTCAAATATTTGATTCAGGAGTTGTTACACGCCAAGGTACTGATGTTTTAAATATTTATTATGTTTTTCTACAAACGTGCTTTTGAAAGAATACATTAAAATTGGGTGGACAAGTTAAAAAACCTGGATTTTTTGTAATATACTAAAATATATTTATTTTAAGGATCTGTATGTCATATATTAAGATATCCATAACCATATTTGTTAATATTTAATTAGAGTTAAAAAGTAGGTAGTTAAAAAGGATAAACTAAACCAAAAACCATCAAATATTACCTTCCTTTTAACCAAAAGGTACATTAACCAAGAAATTTTATTTAACTAAAATAACCTTAATTTTGCCATGGCAAATTAATTCCCCACTTATAACAAAATAACGTTAATTTAACGTTAACTTAACCAGTTGTGCTACTTGCGTTAACCTCGCTAAATTAAAAAACATCCAAATGATAAAAATGTAACAAAATAAGAAAATACTTTGTGTTTTTCAGGCCTAATTTTAATTTTGAACAGCGTGACATTTTCATTGTTAAAAAGCGATTATTTTGATGACAACACGCATTGGAAATTACCGAAAGATAAAATTTTTAATGGACCAATGTTAATTTTCAATCCTTTTAAAAGTAAACAAAAAGTACTCAGGGTAAACAAAAACACCATATATCTATACTATGTTTTCACCAAATTAAAAGCACTCACAATTTAGTTATTTAGTTGAATATTGAACACTGTTGCATTTGTTTTTATTTTAATTTGACTAAAATTAAATGGATTTCACATTGTAAAAATATACAAAGCTTTTTTAAGTAATTAATTAATTACTATGGGCCAAAATGTTTAATAAAATTGTCGGTTTGTTAATGTAAAAAAATATTAATTACTCTTTAATTTTTCAAATTTATTTATAATTACTGACATTCACTTGGTAATGTCTATATGGGCTCAGTAGTATATAATTATATCAGTGTTGCGCAATCTTGAAGCATACCACCCTATTTTTAACATCGTAATTTTTCTTTATTTTATTTATCCTTTTATCCTCATCTCATCTCTAACAGGTAAATCTGGAAAAATGGAGTAAAAAGGAAATAACTTTTTTGTTCCTATTATGTTATTGATCTATTTTTCAACGTTTATATTTCCTGTTGATGTCGGTTTAGTTTTGTTAAAACAGAAGGGAATCGACAAACAAAGAAAAATAGAGCTAATATATAAAAATATATAGAAGAGGCCGATGACATAAACTAAAAGAGCACTGAGGCAAATTATATCCGATATATTTCATGTTCTTTTGTAATATTTATTTGGATTTATTTTTCCACAAAACAAATCAAAGATCCCAATTTTTTATTTAGAAATTGGCAGCTCAATTTATTTTGTTAATAGTAGATTTGAATATATTGCTTTTTCATAAATAAAGTTTTCTCGCTTTTTTTTAACCACCCTAGTAAGTATGTAGGTATGAATTTAGGAACACTCTCTATAGTATGTTTATTGTATTTTTAATGTATGTACACCTTTATTTAATATTTTATTAATAATTATATTTTAGGAGGCATATTAACCCTAAAAGGAATATCAAGTCCACTGACGAAAAACAATAAATTCGATGATTTAATATATTGGACTTTACCGAATGACATTGAAAAAAACACTAAAATCACAAAGTTACCTGAAAACCAAGCATACGATATGACTACAGTGACTAAATAACAAGGATTATATTTAATATTCAATAATAGTTATTTATGTCATTAGGTTAAGAAGTAAGGCTTTTTGTGCTAAGCTCAAAGTTTGAAGGCCGACGCGTAGCGGAGGCCTACAATTGAGCGAAGCACAAAAAGACACTTCTTGGCCGAATGGCATACAACATTTTATCTTCAAAGCACTTTATATACCTAGGTCAATTTAATTCAACATAAAAGCGGTCTAACCTCACTTTTTTAGAATGTCATTTATTTATTAGCTAAAGATTACATTAAATGTACAATAATTAGCTACATGATTTAAGTAGAAATGGATTTTTGTGAGAAAATGGTTTACTTACCCTCTTGCTATTACATTGAATTCAATTAATTGTTTAATAAATAGGTATCTAATTTCAATTTGTTTGCATTTTTATTAAAAAAATAGGTAGTTTGGAATGTTTACGCTGTGTTTAACATTTAATTTCACTGAAAACTTAAAGCAAATTAAAACTTAAAGATAATTTAAATCGTAGAAAAAGAAAACACATCAGTGAAATCCACAGAAACGTCAAATTGTAATGTCCTAACCTCACTTTTTGTTTTATTATTCATATTTAATTTTACAATAATTTAATGAAAAATAATAAACATTAACAGTAAAACAAACAAATTAGTGCTTATTATAAATAAATTAAACCAGTTTAGTACGTTAATTTCTTAGAAAAGGATTAATTTTTCAAAACAATACCCCTAGCGAGAAAAAATCGAACTAGGTAATTACTTGCCTCATAAAAATTTTTATCGGCCTAGGCCATAACAAGTTATTTCTTTATCGAATGTTGACAACAATAAAGTTTAAATTATAGACCGCGTGGAGATAAAAATATTTTATAAGTAGAATATGTTTCTATATTATAAACCCTGTAGGCAAATAAAATGTAGGGCCTAAATAAGCTTAGACAATATTTTGCACAAAAATTTCCATTTCAACAGCAACCAAAAAGTATATTAAAAAGCACATAAAATACAGTTAGTTTAGGATTCTTAATTGGTTTGGTACCTTGTTACATGATACCGAAATGAATGATTTAATTGGTAAACACAAACGAAATAGATATTTTATGATACATCACCTTATCAAAATCACTTTTAACTTGTTAACATGGCATAAATACCTACATTAAATGCCTTAAATACTTTATATCACTGACTTTAACACATTTAAATTAATAGTTTTATCCGGTTAAGAAACACCACAATACTTCAAAGGTATCAAACCCTTGATCTGTCAAAGTTTAATACCTATGAAGTTGGCAAGAGCGCACTTTAGTTTTGGAGGCAAGGCCGTGTACAATCTAATAGATTGAATCTATACTTAAATTATAATTTATTTGGTTTTGCATTTAATTTTAAAAAAAAATTGTTTTCTCTTATTTGCTACGAAAAACACAAGTTTAAAATCAAAGTGAAATTCTAGCCACCCTTGATGTGTCAAAAGTTTACGTCTGTTAAGTTGGCACACGTGTGTGAAGTTGGCAACTTCTTTTATAAACTGTTTTTTGTTTGTAAATATAATGTGCTTTGAACAAAATAATTAAATGGCTAAAATAAGGTGTTTTTTGGTTGAATACGATGGTATTTTGTATGTGAAAGCGTCGGTTAAATCGTTACATCATAGGAAATCCACCAATATTATTTTGGCAGTTGCCAGGTAAGTTTTAAATTAATATAGGTAGTTACCCAGGTACCTACATTGTTTTTTATTAGTTGTAATCATCTTTGTACACCACTTTGTTGTAAAATAAACCAAGCAATTTTCTTTGTGTGCTAGTAACTAAATAAATTTAAACCCATTAAAAACATAAGAAGCTTATCTTAGTATAATTTAAGTAGCAATAAAATAAAGAATGTAGGATATGCTAGCATAGGTATAAGTGATTAAGTTAAAGACTTGGTATTAATATTGGCTTTAAATCCCTTTGTTCTATCGTGTCACACGAAATCCACCTTTTTTAATGTCATGTGCTTCGATGGTTTTAGTTTACAAAAGTTGCAGCCTTGAGCTATATCAAAAATCCATTTGTAATAAATATCCTAAAGAGCTAACTTCAAAGGAAAAACTTTTCCTTTTATTATTATTATTATTATTATTATTATTATTTTCCATTAAAAAAAATTATAGGTGCAATCCAAATTAACTATTTACGTGGTTGCGAGATGTATTTTCTGAAAACTAGTGCAAGTAATATTTTGCGCATGCCTACTATAAAAAATGTTAATATTTTTAAAAAAATTAAATTCAAAATTTAATAAAGAAGAGTTATATTGAATAAACAGTAATTTGGCACCTTACTCGGCCAATAGGCATGCTGTTATAAAATTTTGTTAAATCAGATGAGTTCGTAGTTTGTAATTGGTTAATTTTATTTTATAAAACTTTTAACAATTTTTTTTGTAGAAAACCAGTTTTTTAAAGGTAATAGGCAATTTTGTAAGCATTTTGTTAATTTAAAAAGTTACCGAATATTTTGTTAATGTTTAACAAATTATTTCGTTGATAAAGAACAAGTGATTTCAGGCAGTCAATCAAAACATTTCCCACTGACAATACGCATCAGCAAGTTCAACTGACTTTAGCGTCTGCAACTTATGTTTCTGCTTACTTTATCCTAATTCGTAACGTGTTCGTAACAACTGTACAGAGTGTTTATAATTTATTACCAGAAATCTATTATTATTGTTATTCGGATTCCTTATACCTATTTAACGAGTGTGCGAAGTATCTGAAAAAATTAGGGGATACAGTGAAGTGGGTTAAAGTTACGAAATACATCAGTAAGTATTGTAATAGTACTGATAATTATGTTTTATCAATTTTTTTATAATTTGATGATGTTATTTTTGTATTCATTTATGTTTTTTTTGTTTAGGAAGTTAATTAATAAAGGAACATGTCTTATCAAAATTCTTTTCATTTATGTTCCCAATTTACAACGAATACTGTTGTTACTGGGTCTACAAAAAGGTTTGTAAAAATAAGGTCCTTTTTGAAAATTATTTTTGAATTATTGACAAAGGATTTTGTTATTAAATCAACAAAATACTTGTTATAATTACAAACTAAGTATTTATTTAGTTAACAAATTACAGTTCGTTGTAAACTTAACTTAAAGTTATGTGGACCTGGATTAACATAAAATCTGGTTAATATTTGGTTAAAATTAACAAATATTTTTTACTGTGTATTAATTAATCTCGCTATTTCTAAAAAGTTTCGATAAGCTTCAGATATAAAAAATGCAGAAGAGGATGTTAAAAAGTGTTGCGGAAGTAGACAACAAAGGTCCTTTGCAACAAAGTGACAGTTTTGTCAAACTTCGCAATTTAAATTTTAAACTGTTTACATAACAAAGTAGGCAGTGAACCAATGACCAATACACGGTGCTGTTCTGAGACGTGATTTTTGGACTTTCTGTGAAACCTAATTTTTTTTATATTCTTGTTAATTAGGTCATAACTAAAATTTTAAGAGCAAAATAAAAAAAATTTGACGGTTAATTTTATTTTAATTGGATGTTTATTAAAAATATGTATGCACACTTTCAATTCTCCAATTAAAACTTGCGATTTTATTTAAATATTATCATAACTTTTTAAATCAGATTAAAGATTAGTTAATTTCCTAAAAAATGGTCTATACATTTTTTATATCTTTTACTGTTTTGTTGTAATACACCTTTAAAGTTATAATTTAAGGTTAAATGTATAGTATACATTTATTAAACAATAATTCTAAGGGTGCCACATTTTATTTAGGGCCGATTTCATTTTTGATTTATTTGACGAATAATTTCTTTGGATACTAGTTATTGCCAAGACATGAAAGTTCTCGGCCCGATAAACTTTACTAAAGATGAATAAACTGGTCCTTAGTTAAATTTCATGAATTTCTTCGTAACTTTTACTACAATTTTTCATTTTTGTTTATAAAAAACACTTTAAAAAACTAAATAAAAATTATAGAATACGTATACTGAAAATGACAATTCAAACATCAAATAAATTTTTAATAGATCTAAGTTTCATGGCAACCTTTAAGGATATTTTAATTAAGGGAACATAAATGTATACGTCAAAGGTTAGATTAAAAGTTTGAACGTTTATTGCAACAAAACAGTAAAATATATAAAAAAAAATGTAAAAACCTTTTTTTTAGTTATGCAAATATTAAATATTTAAATTAAATCGCTAGTTTTAATTGGATAATTGAAAGAGTGCATAATTTTTATTATTTTGCTCTTAAAATTTTAGTTATGACCTAATTAACAAGAATATAAAATAAATTAGGTTTCACAGAAAGTCCAAAAATCACCTCTCAGAACAGCACCGTGAATAGTAACATAGCAAAAAATGACATTGCATTGATTGCACGCAGGATGAAGCAAAACAATAACAATGCACCCAATTATTTTCATAAAAAATGTTAATCCGCATTAAAAATCGACCCAAAAAAAGAGTCGTCGACCTCAACCCTCTGACAATAACTGCAACAATACGTAACCTCGTGCGAGATCGCGTGCGCTCGAGCGCAGTCGCGATGTTTTCAAACAAATCGCGCGCCACGAAACGAGATTCAGTAGAGTGCCGGCAAGCGAAGGTGACGCGATGGAGGAGGAGCTACGCTGCTCTACGTGCAAACAGTTCTTCAACAACCCCGTGCTACTGCCATGCTACCACTCGGTATGCCTCCTGTGCGCAGTGAATTTGCAACAACCCGCCACCAACACCAGCGGCGGCGACAAAAACACAGAAAACGCCGAGAGTGTCGCGTCGGGGTCGTCCGGGGACTACCAAGAGAGCGACAAGCTATCCATACTCAGCGAGACGGACAGCGGGGTGGTTTGCACCTCGCGGCCCAACAGCTACGTGGGCTCTCCCAAGGAGCTGTTCGCCACCGCTTTCAGCCTGTCCTGCCCCGTGTGCCAGAAGTCGGTGTACTTCGACGAGAATGGCGCCCACAACCTCCCCAAGTACCGCGTAATGCAGAACATCGTCGACCGCTACGGGGAGCTGCGGAATCTGACCTTGAAATGTCAGATGTGCGAGAACGAGCCCGCCAACGAAGCCACGGTTATGTGCGAGCAGTGCGAGGTTTTGTACTGCGATTCTTGCCGCGAGGCTTGCCACCCTTCGCGAGGCCCCCTGGCCAAGCACGTCCTCACGGAACCCAAGCGCGGCAGCTTGGGCCTACCGAAAACCAAAGAGGGAAAGTGCCTGGAACACGGCGAGGAAACCCTCAACATGTTCTGTCTGGTTTGCAAGATCGGTGTGTGTGCAGTTTGTTTGATGGATGCTCGACACGTTTCCCACGACGTCCAGGCTCTAGCCATCATGTGCAAATCTCAAAAGGTAAAATTAAGTGTTTTTAGAAAGAAAATACTGGGTTGAGTTACCGGTTTCCCAAGAAACCGAATGAAGAAATAAATTTCATATAGTCCCTGTAAATATAAATTGTACCTACCTATTAGATACAATTATTAAAAGCGTTGATCAAGAAAGTCTCCACTCAACAGTAAAATACCAAGAACCGGTATTATATTATGTATTATAATATGTATGTTGCCATGAAATCGTAATAAATGCAGTTGTCAGTGTCGGACTTAAATATAAATTATATTAAGTAAAGTTATCATTAGTTAATTCTACTTTGGATCCTTTGGCAAAACAAAAAAATGCATTTTATTTACAATTATAAACACAATAATGGACGAGTGCGACAAAAGGTCTTTTTATCCATTTTGCAAAAATTCTATAAAAAAAAATAATGTTATACCTTTAATTTGGTCGAATTTTACTTTAGATAGTTGGTATCACACATTTGACAGTTGATGTCAAAATCGATTCGCCATGCCGTCCTTAATTTAATTATTTACAATAGGCGGCTGTTAATGTTAAAGAAGAAAAAAAGGATTTTCTTTGGTGTCAAACAAAATTTATTGCCAGAAAAGTACTGGAAAAATTATACAAATATTATAACCAATATGCAAAATATTGCTGTTTAAAGTATAGCCAACCTATAAAATCAAAATTTTGGGTGGGATAAAGTATCTCATTAAAGCACCAAAAGCGGTGTTATAATGAAGTCATTATGAACGCAAAATAGATAATAGTATATTATTTATCAAGTTTGATAAACGCCACTTTATACACGAATTTAATTTAATTTAATTTTTAATTTAAGTTAATGAGTTTATAAACGAGGTGCATACTATACTTTTTCTACGACAAATACTTATTATTATCTTAAAATAATTTAAATCAAAAATTTGTTTATAGCGCCATCTATGAAACAACAGGGGAAACTGTCAAATGTCACATTTTTACATTTTATAAACACAATTATAAAGGTTATAAATCGAAATGTATTTCTTAAAAATTTACATTTTTTTACAATGAAAGTAAAGAAAATGTTTTATGAGCACTTTACAGTGGAGTCCGTGCCCGAATTTAAGTTATAGTTTACTACCGGCGAAATTAAAAGGTCAGTACAATGTTCATATAAACTTTTCAAATATTGGCGTTGATAAACTATTTAATATTTTTGTATTTTTGTATTGAGATAATAAAATAAATTTCACATTTAGTATTATTTTACAAGAAAGCCACTTTATTTTAACGATTGTATGACATTTGACAACTGTCAACTAACTTAAAACTAACTTCAGCCCGTGACTAAAGCGCCGTAAAGCCACAACTTGTCAATGTGTATTTAAAATTGTTAACAACTTTTAAAATGATTATTTTGTGAAAATATTATGATTTTCTATTAGAAAATTTCTAAACATAATACAAATAAAAAAATTACACAGAAACAAATAAAATTAGGAAAATACCTATTCAACAAAATAATGCACAAAACGTGTTACTTAAATCGAGGTAAAATGAACAATATTATAATTAATTTAAATTAGGTGTAGTCATTCATTGTTTTAAAGTATAATAGCGGAACCCCTATATCCCAAATTGTGGATAACACTATCAAATCGTTATTGAAGTCGTTTATCATTTCTGCATAGAGGTTTATTTTGTAGTAAATGATAAATATTGAATAGTGTGTTGTAGACAATTATTGGTTTTATATTTCCATAAATTTAGTTATTTTTTAAGTTGAATTTTTATACAATTAAAAGCAATCTTTTCCATATAAAGCACAGAAAAAGTTTTTCCATGCATTCCTATAAAAGAAACTGTGTTTGAAAGATTTTTTGGTCGGTATTCTATGTTATTTATGTACATTACACAATTTATAATCTACCAGTGTCATTTTGTTATTTATTCATAAAGCATTCCAGAGGCCTCAATTAAATCACAAATTTTGATAGTTAATTAGAACCGGTGTATATTTTAATTATGTATGCATATTTTGGAGTTTCGAAAAACACGTTTTCAATTAACGTGGTATCATATATCCTACTAATGTTTTGCAAGCAGATAATATGATATAATAACAAGAATTAGTAAAATTAGATGATTTTATGTGATATGATACTTTTTTAAGTAACGATAAGTGTTTTATAAATGACTATCCAACGTATTACATATAACGGATCGACATGATAGTGTATAAGTTTTGTTTTGTTTTTTTTATTTGTGTTTTGTTAGTTTCACTGATATCCCCCTTTAATATATTTTTTTGTTTATTTCCTTAAAACTTTTACTTAATCTGTTTTCTTTCAAGGAATACGTAAAAGCGCGATATATACGGCCGATGAAAAGATTAAAACCGTTCGTATAGAAAATACTTCTGCTTTATTTAAGCTGGTTTTATTTCATTTTATGTCTGCCATATACCAGGGAAAATAATAAAATAAAAATGGTGTCATAAAGTCAGTCTAGTCTATATTGGTAAAAGTATGAATAATAAAAATAATAATTTTATAGGTTTTTGTCATTTTAGAAGATTTTAAAATTGTCCCGCTCTACCGTGGTGGTTAAATACACTTATTAACTTAATGCTTTTTTAATTGTGTTATATCTATTTATATTCAACCCGTATTCTTACAGCTGTTGGCATATGCGGCAGAGATTTAAATGTAGATTTAAAAATAAACAATTTATTTCGACATATTTGATATGAGAGTTTCCGATGGACCAAATTAATTTGTTGGGCCGGCAATTGATATATTAATGCCAACTACAAATCACTGGCCTCAACGGGATCAATAGTTACAACAAGTCCATTGTTAGACTGTTTAAAATTTCAATTTTAACCCAAATAAAAGATGATATTTTTAGTTATAAATCGACAAAAAAATTAAATAGATATTCCAGATTTTTAACCGCAATTAATTATTTTTTACAATATTTTAAAAGTCTAAAACCTATCCTCCGTGAATCTGTTTTTGCTTTACATTTTATGCAACGGATGGCGCTTTAATCATTTTAAATAAGCAAAAACCTCTGTTTACGACATTATAGATGCATGTGATTCCTGAAGGTCAATTAGAGTGTTGCTGTTTTATAATTCAAAAGTTTAAGTTCATTAATTTGTTATGTAAAAACCTATCCACCGTGAAGTGTAATATCTCATTAAGAAGATTTTTTTATAAATATTTTATGTATGTACAATTGTATTTTTAAAAAATATTTAGGTTTCAAAAGATACAATAACTTATTTCAAATATACAAAGGGATGTTTAAAAAAACATACGAAAAAATAACCTCCGTGAAGCTATCTTCCGTGAAGTTCTAATATTCAAAATGTATGATTTCCTAAAATTCTTGCATTAGTGCAGAACCACTTATAACATATGTTATGTTATTTCTAGACCTGGTGGCTTCCCAAAAACCCCATTCTAGACTAACAGTGAAACAACCAAAAATAAAAAATATTCATTTTCACTTGGGTACATCTCAATATATTTACCCGTATATAACGTATTTCGTGAAAAAATTTTAAGTCGTAAAAATTAAATTAAGTTTTGTTTTGTTTTGTTTTTCTCAATCCTAAGTTTGGAATGAAGGACACGTAGATAGACTTAAATAATTTAGAGGGATCTTTCTACTTTATTTCTACATGCTTTATTTTTCAAAGATTTTCATTAGTACAAATTTTGTACTACAATGTAGAAGTTTGTTTTAACATTTAGCATATTTAATCAAAATTTTCCTGAAAATCCAAAACCTAAAAGATTGTGATTGTCTTCTAAAAAATGTATGCAAACAACTCTGGAATGACCAATTAATAGTCGAGCAATCTATAATCAGTTTGTTAGTGTGACATTGCGTCACGCACTGCTCCCAACTTGGGAGTAAAGTGTCACGCCATTTCTTTATTACAATAATTTATATCTGGATTTCGTGCTATTCAAATAGAGTGGAGATTACTTTTTTTCAACCAATTATGGGGCATTTTTCTTCACAGCTACAGCTAAACCCTTTTAAACACTAGAAATATTTTTTACTGTTATTTTAAAGCACCTTCATATCTGAAGAATGTTACATTTAATAAACTATAACTTATTCCTAGGAATATGTTTCCAATGAGTCCTTATAAAAACACATTTAAATCTCAAGGACATAACTAACAAACATTGTACGGGAATTCAGGTGCCAGAACGGTGGTCTTGCGTAATGAAAAAATATTGGAAACAGAACACGTACGGTCTGGTAAATTATGGTTAACGCAACCCAGCAATAAAAATATGGTCAATACCCCTTTGAAACTGAAAAAGAACGAAAGAAAGATATAAAGGTTTCTCGTTTGGCTTACTTTGATTTTGAGAAATAATTAAGAATGAAACTGGTTTCAGAAACGATTCCCAGAAGAAGTCTTGAATTAAGTCTTTCTTCCTGTTGTGGAGATACAGTTTTTTTGTACATTTTAATACTTTTTGTTTTTTTGTATACCTATCAAAATAAATTATTTTATTGAGGGAGTGTGTTTCATCCCAAAAAAGGTAAAAATATGTCCAGATGTTTATAACAGTACATAAAATAACTTCCTACTCAAAAATATAACATCTGCTCATCAAAAAAAACTAAATAATTGGTTTCAGTGACAACTTGTAAATTCTTAAATAATTTTTTCTACTCCCACCTTTAAAACGTACATGTTTCCATGACACTAAGTGACCTTTTAAATACACATTGACAAGTTGTGGCTTTATTAGTCACGGGCTGAAGTTAGCATCAGGTTTTTAGTCACGTTAGTTGACAGTTGTCAAATGTCATAAAATCGTTAAAATAGAGTGCCTTCTTGTAAAATAATACTAAATGTGAACGTTATTTTATTATCTCAAAACAAAAATACAAAAGTATTAAATAGTTTCTCAACGCCAATATTTGAAATGATATATGAACATTGTACTGACCTTTTAATTTTGCCGGCAGTAAACTATAACTTAAATTCGGACACGGACTCCACTGTAAAGTGCTCACAAAACATTTTCTTTACTTTCACTGTGAAAAACTGTCAATTTTCAAGAAATACATTTCGATTTATAACCTTTATAATCTGTGTTTATAAAAAAAAAAAAGTTTGACATTTGACGGTGACACACAGATTACCCTATTGTTTCATAGATGGCGCTCTATACAAATTTTTGGTTTAAATCATTTTAAGTATTTGTCGTAGAAAAAGTATAGTATGCACCTCGTTTATAAACTTTTCTATACACTCATTAATTTAAGCACTCGCTCGTGCCTAAATTAAATTCGTGTATAAAATGGCGTTTATCAAACTTGATACATAATATACTATTATCAACATGTCTATAACAATTTTTATTGCACCCCTAATTTTTATCACTGTCTAAAAAAGATACCAAAAATAAAACGTTTCCAAGAAAAAACATTTTGGGGTTTACTGAACTTTTCCTAGTAAATAAATGCCGATAAAAATTAATTATTTCCATGAAAAAAAAACCTTGTGACACTACATATTTTGCCAAGTTTTGAGGAAGGAGGTTTATAAATAGGTATGCTATTTTTGAGTTTCTTTTGATTTACTATTTTTATAATCCACGTGCTAGTATAAATAAATTGATGTTAGAATTCTGTTTTACCGGCTTTCATAGTGTTTTTTACAACTTGATAAAATTGCATCTTTTTGTGTATACGTTTAAAATAGTATTATAACTCATACCAGGGTAATGTTTTATTAAGCCTTATATCATACTGCGGTGATGCCAAATCAATAAATTTAACACTTTATTTGACCACATCCAACTTTGAAAAATCTCAAAAATTGTTTATATTAAGTATATCGACAAATTTATATTACATAATGCGTTTTAACGTTGGAGATGTTGAGTAAAATCTGTAAAAATCCTATTGAACTTTGATTGGTTAAGTACGGCAACGTGGTCGAAAGTACGGACAACCGGTTTATTGGAATACAAAAAAAAGAACGAGGAACTGAGCCGTTCGATGTGGTATGGCGTGGTGTGGTTACCTGCCTGCATCTGTCCGTTCGTTGGGTTGCATTCGATTAAGGCCTTTAAGAACGCATCTCGTGTATAAGAGAAGTATGGGTAGCATTGATCGATGTATTCTGCAAACTTTCAAGTTGCTTGTTAAATTTAAATTTTTCGCATTTTTCGTTTATTTTTTTTTATTTCTTTTAAACCACGCAAGGTCTACAGCTAGTATATGTGTTATATTTCTGCACTGAAAGATAGGTGCCCTTAAACTAAAGTAGTCAACTCTCTTGATAAAATTTAAATACAACCTGCATTTAAGAAAAAATATTTACTAAAAAATAAAATGTGGTTAAGTCAATAGTATATGCTTTTGTAGCAAGGCAAATTTTCTTTTTAGTTCCTAAGCTTTTAAATTTAAAATTAAGAGATGCAGTTTTCTTGTTAAAATTACATTTTTATTGAGCTAAAAAACGTTTTCTTTATTCAAAAGAGAAATATATTCCGAAGAAATTTTTCGGTTTTTGTATCAAGAAATCGCTTGCTGTTGATTTAAGCTAATATTGTATTTAAGCTAATATTGTATACAATCAGAAATCAGAAATTATCTTTATATACATTTTTTAAAATTAAGGAAATTATAATTTCCTTAATTTTAAAAAATGTATATAAAGATAATTTCTGATTTAGATTAAGAAACATACATCTTGCACTGTTTAAAATATCTGTGGTGTAAAGAGTAATCATAAAATGGGGTCAAAATCCAACTCCAAGTGGTGTTAAATAAACACCATGATCTATGATTGAAAATGTTATATACAGCAAACACCAAAACGTTGTTTATCTAAAAATATTTAAGAAGTGCACCTACACAGAAAAAAAAAATAGTTTATTGAATTTTAACTATATTAATTAAGTTGATCCATAAGTATTTATTTAAATCAACTGTGGGAAGGTTAATATAAACAAAGATTAGTTTGACTGTACTAAACCAGATAGTTATTTTTTTTTATTGGTTAAATTAACCCATAAAACTTTAGTGAAACCAACCCGCTGTATGGTTCAGTTTACTAAATATGCTGTTTGTAAAATAAGAGTTACTTCAACCTAAAGCACTCTGTCAAAACGATTAAAACAATTTGCCGTGCATTCCTGGTTGAATAGAGTGTACCGATCGCGGCAAAGGCGGTGTGGATCACGTGCTGTTCTTAAATCTCGCCTCTGTTGACTTACATGAAGAGTATATCAGGTAGTCCTTTGATTTGGTGTGACACTACAAGTTGTTCGATACTAAAGAGACCTTAAATAGGTGGAAACAGCTGTCAATACTTAAAGTATTTTAAGTTGGTGGAACGCACTAAAACATTATCTTTAGAGAGTTGAAGGTTCAATTTTCTGGAATAATACCACTGGTAATATACTAGTAATGCGTCAAGGTTTTTTTTTCTTTTTTTCTGTGTGGCCCTATTCAAAAGCGCAAATCTCTTGAATCAAAGTGATTTTTATTTCTTTTAAGAGATTATTTTTTCAGTGTGTTTAAACCACCATGGAAAATTGGTGAACAACAATTCATACAATAAAACTGTATTAGGTTGATATTGATTAAAGTAACGAAGAACAATAGTCCATTTGGAATCAAATTTATTAATGTGCTTTGTAATCTTTACAGGAAATGGCCACAATAGAGATTATCTGCAGATTAGTTTTGAATAATTTTATTGTTGAGGTTTTATTTAACAATTAGGCATTCTCAAGTGGGATATTTGCAGTAATGGGGTAGTTAAATTTTTTCTGACCTATACTTTTTATGCTTTTATTCAAGGCGTTTTGTATTTTTAAACATCTTTGTGAAATCGGAATTTCAATTGAGTTTACCGTTTTCGAGATATTTACAAAAAAAAGTCTCCTAATTACGTCACTAGGCTATTGACAACGTTGCCAGCTTTTTCTATGGTGTTTAGTTTAAGATTCTTACGATAGATGGCGCCACCTTATAATATTTTAGTTTTAAAACTACTTGATCCAAAATTTTAGTTGAGAGGAAGAAGAATTGATTTTTTTGACGTTTCTTTTTTTCGGGTTATGTTTTTTTTTTAATTTAGATTATTGAAAATCAATGTTATTGTTATGTTATTTGTAATTGATATTAGATAAGTGATTTATTAATAACGGACTCCAAAGCAGAGGAATCTTGTGGAATGGTTGGTTACATTGAACATTGGAGCTTTTAAACAAATAAAGTAAGTACCTACCTATAATTATAATCATATTTTGTCGTAAATGCATTTCATTAGTATAATGCCTAGTTCTTTATATTCTTTTAGATATATCTTGGACTCAAACAGTAATATGATACCTCGTAATAAGGTCCTTATTATAAGGAAGATAGGTACTTAATGAATTTGGTGACCATCTGTTTCTCTACACAGAAGATATATTTATTGTACTGGTTGTAAGGTTTTGATGCTCATCATCAGGGATGCAAGTTTTATAAAAACTATACACAAATATCATAAATACCATTGTTAACTTACATTTACTGTTATTTTTTGTAAATTTATTTCATTCATTTTCAGCTTTATTTTGCCACTTTTTTCTATGAAATATATTAAACTCTGCTTTAGACAGTTATTAGGTACCTATTTATTACATTTTATTAGGTTTCACACGGTGTTTCAATGTGTAAACCTATCAATAAAACTTTTAATTTCAGAATTTTCTTTAACCTCCTCTTCTTCTTCTTTCACTCAACTGACAGTGACAGTATTTGTACATAACCTCATCGGGTATTTTCTGACATAACCGAATGAAATCATTAACAAGACAACTTGACAACAGGGTAATTTTCAACCAATAGAAATCTTAGAATGTTGGTCACATGGCGAGGTTTGTGACGTCATAAAAATGTATATTTTTTGTAAATATCTCGAAAACGGTAAACTCAATTGAAATTCTGTTTTCACAGAAATGTTTAATATTACAAAACGCCTTGAATAAAACCATAAAAAGTATAGGTCAGAAAAAATTTAACTACCCCATTAAAGTCCAAAATCATTATTTTTTCACCAACCTCTGCTAATTGAAACCGTCACTGTATTCCGTGTCAATTTCGAAACGAATCACGACCTTATTCTCGGCTTTTTCTGTGCCAATATTTCCTGTCGTTTCAGTTGGGTCGTATTAACTTCCCGCAAAAATAAACAAAACATCGTTCGCGCGCTCTAAAATCTATTCTATTAATAAGTGTATCGGATGCTTTTGTGGGATTCTTAATTTAAACGCTAAAATAGTCATCCATCCGCCAAAATCAAAATAATATCGACGTCACGTAT